GATCAGGCCTCTAAAGACAAGATCAGCACCAATAGATGAATGGATTAGAAATATAGCTGATACTGGATCTCATGATGCAACTTTAATAGGAGAAGTAATCTCTAAATGTTTTAAGGAAAGCCAAGTTGTCAAATGTCTTGGCTGTGGCAAATAAGGTCATTTCAAAAGGGGTTGTAGGCAAGGCATTCCTAGAAACTATGTATTTTCTAGAGATAATAAAAGAAAGAAGACCCCAGCCTTCTGGGGTTTACATTGGACTAATGAATGCAGATCAACAAGGGACAAACAAGGCATCCCTTGTTGGGAAACACTGGAGGGGGTCTCTTGCAGGCCAGAATATCAAACTGAAGTTGGTCAGTTCAGGTCAGCATCTGTAACTACACATTTATTAGAAGTTATGTCTATATTAGGAATACCTTTACAAATTAAGAGTGACGGTGCTCCAGCATATGTCTCTAGTAAAACAAAGCCATTTTTGAATATTACAGCATAAAGCTTATTTTAAGAGGTATACCCACAATTCACAAGGATAAACAGTAGAAATCTGTAGAAAGATTCAATCATACTTTAAAAGTGATGCTTAATAAACAGAAAGGGGTAACAAAGACCTCCAGAGATAGATTACATAGTGCTTTATTAAATTTAAATTTTTAAATGCCAATGAGAAAAACAACAACAACAACAACAGCTGCTGAGACACTGGGTGTTGGAAAAAACTTCTGAATTAAACCAGCCTAAATATTTTTAAGGATGTCTTAACTTCAGAATGGAAGTCAGGAAATGTGTTATATTAGGGAAAGAGGTTATGCCTTTGTATTCACAGGAAACAAAAAGCTATAGATTCTTCAAAATTAATAAAGATAAGACTTGACTGGAGGAGACCTCCTGAAAATGTTGGCTGCAGTCATGAAGGAACAAACCAAGAAAAACAGGTGATGTGCATGTGGATCTATCTACATGGGAACAACTTTGCAACTGTATGAGACATGATGAATCTTGTTGGATACAGAGTCCTCATGACTTATCACCCCATGCCATCCTTTCATATGGAATGGAGATTTATAATACAGTTTTGTTTTGCAGTCTGTGGAGGCCCCAAAAAAATGTGAGCCTATTTCCACCTTGTCTGAAGGTCAGAGAGTTTTAGCTTGTTTTGAGTTGTTGACAATTATGGCTACACATCCTGACCTAGGGTGTGGTTACTTGGTCTTTTTGACATTAAGATGACCCATACAGGTCCACTCCACCCTAACCAATGGTCAGGATATTCAAAGACCATTGGGACTGGGAGGGAGCCTAGGGCCTAGCATTGCCCTTGTCAAGTTCTAAGGCACTACAGCCAGGTATTAGGGAAGGTCCACGTGTTCCTTTTGCCAGAGATAAGGAGGGTGATGTCCTTTTTAGGGAGTAAGTGATGGAGGAAGGTCATTGGTTAAGTAATAAAGAAACTGCTTGGCCTCATAGGTTAAAATATAGGTGGGAGGAGTAAACTGAACAGAATGCTGGGAGGAAGAGGAAGTGAGCTCAGAGGCCATGCTCCCCTCTCCCGGGCAGATGCCATGCAGCTCTCTCCAGAGCCAGACGTGATGGAGCAAGCCGCCAGGTCAGACATGCTGAATCTTTCCTGGTAAGACTGGTGCTACTTAGATTATTAGATATGGGTTAAAGCAAGATATGAGAGTTAGCCAGAAGAGGCTAGATAGAAATGGGCCAAGCAGTATTTATATGAATACAGTTTGTGTGTTGTTATTTCAGGGCATAAGCTAGCCAGGTAAGCAGGCGGCCAGGGTGCTGGGGACACAGCCCCTCCGCTCCTACTACAAGTAAGAACTTTCTTGAAGCCACCTGAGGGAATGGGAGCTTTATCCAAATGCCTGACCTTGGGAAAAGGACTTTGCAGTTCTATTTCTGTTAAGTACGAGCCTTAGAAAACAAGTTTTCAACTGAAATTTTCTTAGTATCAATTCAAAAAAATTTATATGACTCAGTTTATCCAAATAGCTTATGCTAGACATATATCCTTATGTTGAATAGACCTCAAGTAACAAGAGACATTTTTAAAGCCACTGATTCTCAATTTTTTGATGCTTTGAGCATTCAATATAGTTTCCAATATTGTGGACCCCCTATTACAAAATTTTTCCCGTTGTTATTTTACAACTGCCGTTGTTATTGTTAAGAATGTAATGGTCTGTTCTGTCTCTTTAAGAGAAAAGCCATGCCCACTCCCCCCTTCCTCTGCTGAGACAGGCTCATCTTCAGCTTCCAGTTCAAGTTCTCTCTCTTTTCCATCTCCCTCTCGGAGAGGCAGTTTCTGCCTCTCCCCACTTCTCCTCTCCCCTGCTTTTGTCTCTCCCTTCTCTCTCTCTCTCTTCTCTTCTCTAGAAGAAATGAAGATCTAAAAAAGAGAGAAGAAGCAGGCACCACCCAGGAACAGATCATCCAAAGGAGATTCCTAACGTCTAACCTTCATAGATAGGATCACCTGCAAGCACACACCCATTGCCTGGTGCCTGGGTGGTCTCAGTTTGTGATCCTTCTGGGAACCAGGTATTGCCCTTGGGTAAACTACTGAGACTCAGGCCTCTATTGAGCTTGTCTGGCTGGGTCCTACAAGTGAACCCTACGTCTGTCAATTTGGTGAGTTGAAAGACCCCGATAATTCTAGACCCCTCTAGCAGAAAAAATAGAGCCAAAAATTTAAGCAGGGAGAGAAGAATCAAAAATCTAGATTAGTCGCTTCAGTAACTCTGTTTCAGGAACTAGCTGAAGATAAAGTTAGATTATAATCTTAAGAAACAGGAAGTTCCCCCCTTGTGTTTATCACTGGTATTATTTTCAGAATTTTCCAGTGATGCCCTCCCTACACCCTTTGGGTTGTTGGGTTGTATTTTCTTCCCTTAAATACCCCTTCTCTCGGCTTCTCGGGGTCAAACTCCTCCCCTGCATGGGATAGGAGTCTCGGCCAGTGCACTGGTTCCTGTCAATAAACCTTGTGTGATTGCAGCAAGGACAGTCTCCCATGAGTTCTTGGGGGGTTGTGTTATCCTGAGACTTGAGTGAGAGTGTCCCCACACCAGGGGTCTATCAAGTAAGATGTTCTAAATGTGAGGATTAAAATTAAACTAAATTAAGACCACCCATTTTACAGCCTCTCCACGATCCCTAGTTCCCAGAATGGATTGAGCTGTACCCTGGGCATGGCTGAGGTGACTGCTACTAACCTCTGACCTCAACCACGCCTGATGCAGGTCGTTAACCCTACCCCTCAATTCTGTACTTCCCTGTTCGTCACGACCAATCATGTTCAATGTCACTGCCACAAGGCCTTCTGAGAACTGCTAAGGCTGTGACCCTCACTTGTGGATTTTGCCTTTAGAAACTCTAACCTGCTTCAACAAAGACCACTTTGTTTGCAGCAGATTCTGGCTCCTGGTGGCCGGGGAAAGGGGAGGGGTGTCTCACTACGCGGGCACAATACGTCTGCTTGCTCTAGAAGTCTTGTGGTTTTTGATAACTGTTGTTTGGAAATTCCCCTAGACCCTAGCCAATGAATTCAAAGATTGCATCCCCTTACCCAATCCTCAAATGCCAAGGCTTGTCACACCGGGCTTGCGGGTTTTCCCTTTAAAAATCTCCAACCCCAGAGGCTGGAGCACTTCACCACCTGCTGGGTAGGAGTGCGGATCACAGTCTGAGTGTTTCTTTTGGAAACCGGCTCTGTGGTGTTCTTGACTGGGGGGTGTCCAACGCAGTCACAGTATGTTCAGGGATAAAGTGTTTCTTTTGCTGGCTCGAGTTCTCAGATCCATGGTGTGTTTCTTGGCTCTGGGTTCAAGAGTCAGGGTGCTGAGGGATTGTCATCGCTACAGATCTGCTGGGGTCTGGGTCTTTCACACATTCACAAAAATCATAGTGAGAAAAATTCACAGGATGCCTTTAATCCCAGCACTCAGGAGGCAGAGGCAGGCCGATCTCTTGTGGGTTCGAGGCCAGCCTGGTCTACAAGAGCTGGTTCCAGGACAGGCACCAAAGCTATGAAAAAACCCTGTCTTGGAAAACAAACAAACAAAAACAACAAAACACAAATCAAAAGAGAGAGAGAGAGAGATGATAGAGAGAGAGAGGAAGAAAAAGTCACAGGAAATTAAAAGAAATTGTTGGGCTGGAGATATGGCTGCCTGCTATTCCAAAGGTCCTGAGTTCAATTCCCAGCAACCACATGTGCTCACAACAGTCTGTAATGAGATCTGGCGCCCTCTTCTGGCCTGCAGGCGTACATGCAGGCAGAACACTGAATACATACATAATAAATAAATAAATCTTAAAATAAAAAAGAAATTGACGTGGTGCTGAAGGAGCAGAACCAACGCCGTCTTGTGAATAGGCCTCCATCTTCGAACATCTGGTGAATGGGGACACTGAACTCAAGTCCTAGAATGTGCTGGGGCAGCAGGATTTAAATATTCATCCTGGATACAGACGATCCTGGATACGAAGACCAGAGGTTCCTACAGATACCCTATATCCTGTCAACATTGGAGACATCCTTGCCAGCAGTTAGTAACTTCGCGCCTATAGCTTGACCAATGCTTTTAAAGAATGACCTCACCCTGCATTCCCTCACCCAATTACAAAATGCCGAGACAGATAGCTTCCTGCTCGTGGTTTTTCCCTATATAAACCCTTTGTAATAGGGGTTCGGGGCCTTTCTCCCTCACCCGCTGTACTAGAGTGCTGTGCGTGATCCTTGCCCGGGTTAGAATAAAGAAACCTTTGTTCTTGCATCAGAAAGCCGGCTCCGTGGTGGTCTTGTTGGTCTCGCGAAGCGGGCATAACATTGCCGTTATTTTTACCTGTGCAGAATTTGTACGCAATCAAAAGCTTCCTAGTGCGAGGTCCCCGCCCCCAGAAACCGGGCATTCCGTAATGGATTGGTGTCATTGGCTGTCACTCAGGCCGACTCTGACGAGGAAAGTAGGGCGGGCTTATAAAGTTCCGCTGAGCTCTGCTAAGTTCTCCATCTTGGGCTCTGTCATTCGGAGACTTGGCTTGGGTGATCCTGCACGGGTACCGGAGACGGAGGAAAGTCGCAGGACGCTCCGAGACCGGCCATGGTGAGCGGGTGAGCGCGGCGTTCCCGCGGAGCTGGTGCAGGCGGCTGCAGAGTCCCCAGGCCCGGCTCCGCCTGTCCGGCTGTGGGGTGGGGCTGGACGGGCTCCGGGCGCCCGGGCGTCCCTGGTCTCATCACGGGAACTCCTGCGGGGTCGCAGCGCTGCCCGCAGCTCCGGGCGGGCCGGGGACATGGGGCCAATGGAAGGCACAAGGAGGAACTGGCTCGCGGTCGCGTCGCTTTAGCACAGCATACACACCAGCCCTCCTCTCTGGGATTCAAATACAGCGAGGGGTGAGATGCGGAACTGTGTGCACTGTATGGAAACACGATAGCTGGGTGCTTGGACGGGGTGTAGGGCTTAGGCACAACAAGGTAACTAACTGTAAAGGTGGTGGTGTTGAAAGACCCTCCAAGAGTGTCTTTCCTCTGGGGAGACCCTTCCCAAGGAACAGCGAGACCACTTGTACGGATGCAAACAGCAAGAGGTTTATTCAGATTATATACAGGTACCTGGGGCGACAAAGTCTCTCGGAGGACTTGTGCGCCTCCAGGTAGGGGTAATGGGTTTATATATGTTTTGGGGAGCAAAAAGCGCGGTACAGAAGCGAGAAGCGTAGTTATAGGGTTTTTATTGGTTAGTTTGAATGTGGCCGAGTTCAGGTCGGGACAAGGTCCCTAGTTCCCGAGAATTCAGATATGGGCTGCCTTGGCTCTTATCTGGGGCAGACAGGGTGTCTTTCTCGGTATTCACTGTTCCTCCCCGCCTGGGACAGACGACGCCCAGCCACATTCTCGGTATTCCCCGTTCCTCCCCCCGGCCCAGCCACAGGTGTCTCTATCTCGTTTTGGCAGCTTCTAAAATGCCCTTTGTTCAAACCCTGAATATTCAGTACAAGCCTTGTAAAATGGCGTTACCGGTGCTAAGTTGTTTAACAAGCTGGGCAGGGGGGTCTTTCATCTGGTGCTAAGCTGCTTAGCAAGTTGGACGGGGGTCTTTCAGTGTGAGGATAGGGCGAAGCCTGTCCCTAGTGAAGAAGCCCAGCTACATTGCATAGGGGACTAAAGGGGTCGGCAATAACTCAAGAAATGACTTTGGTCTGTCGCTACTCGTTAGTGACTTTTTTTTTTTAAATTCCTTAATTTTTTATTCCTGGTACCACTACCACAATTTACAGGGCAATATCCATGATGTAATGAAAAGAAAAAGAAAGACAAAGCTACAACAGATAAAAGACCTCAGGAATGTACTTCTAATTGACACTACATTGCATTAATCAATAGCTGCACCTTTTGCAAACTGTGGCTCTGACAGTGCTAAACAAGAAGGGCCTCCTGTTTAAGCTGCAGTAACTTTTCTGACTATGCATCATTGCTCCTTCTGTGGCAGATTTCTACAATTCCTCTAATGCATTTAGGACGACTGTCTCAAAGTAACCTGCAGCTTTCCTGACACCTCCTCGCTCTCTCTCCTGCTAAGAACCCTAGCCCTTTTCTGCTGTTTTTTTAAAACCTTCTGCTACCACATCCACCACTTCCACCACCAGATCCATAGCTACCACCATAGGGACTGCCCGAGCTTCTTCCACCAAAACTGCCCCCTTTCATGGGTCCATAATTTGATTGCTGTTGTCCACTATAATTTCCAAAGTCACCTCCACCAAAATTTCCTCCTTCATTGTAACCGTCATATCCTCCTCCTCCACCACCATCATATCCACCACCTTGGTTTCCATAGCCTGGCCCACCACCACCATAGCCTCCTCTACTGCTGTAACCAGGACCACCACCATAGTTGCCACCATCACCTCCAAATCCATTATATCCACCATCACCACCTCCATAACTACCTCTGCTGCCACCATCTCCACCACCGCAGCCTCCTCTCCCACCAAAGTTTCCACCACGACCAAAATTACCTCCACCACCTCCAAAGTTCCCTCCACGACCCATAAAATTGCCAGATCTACCTCCATGGCCTCTCTGTGACCCAGCAGACTGCATCTCTTGTTTAGAAAGGGCCTTTTTCACTTCACAATTATGCCCATTAATAGTGTGGTATTTCTGAACAACAATTTTATCAACTGTGTCATGGTCATCAAAAGTCACAAAAGCAAATCCTCTCTTTTTTCCCACCCTGCCTGTCTTCCATAACTTCTATGGTTTCAATCTTGCCATACAAAGTAGTCTCTCAGGTCACACTCTTCTGTGTCCTCTTTACTACCACCAACAAAGATTTTCTTCACTGTTAAAGGGCACCAGGCTTTACAGAATCCTCTCTAGAAACGGCTCTCTTTGGTTCCACCACACGCCCATCAACTTTGTGTGGCCGAGCACACACTGCAGCATCCACCTCTTCAACACAAGAGTAGGTCACAAAACCAAAGCCCCTGGAACGTTTTGTTTGGGGATCTCTCATTACCACACAGTCTGTAAGTGTGCCCCATTTCTCAAAATGTTCTCTTAAGCTATCATCTGTGGTTTCAAAGTTCAGACCACCAATAAACAGTTTCAACTGTTTTGGTTCCTTTGGATCGTGGCCCACCCCCACCCCACACTCCCTCACCCCCCACCCCTACCCCCCACTGATAATAAGAATTTTATTTATTTATTTATTTGTTTGTTTATTTATTTATGATTTTCGAGACAGGATTTCTCCGTAGCTTTTGGTTCCTGTCCCGGAACAACTAGCTCTTGTAGACCAGGCTGGCCTCGAACTCACAGAGATCCACCTGCCTCTGCCTCCCGAGTGCTGGGATTAAAGGCGTGCGCCACCACCGCCCGGCTAGAATTTTATTTATTTAAAAATGATGCTTTGGCATGCATCCAATATTAACATTTCTTGAAGATGAAAGCAAGGTTGCATACTAGTGAGACCAGTGCTAATTTGCCTGACATAATATGGTACATATATAAATGGCAGGAGATGATGGTAGAAACAAATTAAATGTCTTTGTCTTTCATCAAAAACTGTGTTTTGAAAGATCAGACAACTATGTAGAATACAAAAGCTGCATCCTATGACATAGCCGAGTCTGAGCCAGAGGTGGCGTGTACTGGGGCTTGGTGGTGCGATGACATGTGTGTTGTATGCAGGTGTTACAGGTGCTATGGTAAAGTCACCCCGTAGCACAAAGTTGAGCCCTGCCTGGAACACTTTGAATTCTCCACATTTGATTTTGAATTAATCTTTGGTTGCATGTTCCAAAACCTTTTAGTGTTCCCCAGTTTTTTGACCCCTGCCTTCAGTTATGTGACCCCACACGGAGCTAGGACTTTGTGCTGGATAGCTATATGTCAAGTTGACACAAGCTAGAGTCATCTAAGGAGGGAATCACAATTCCTAAGATGGAGCTGGAAGCAAGCACAGAAGGTGGTCCCACCCCTGAGCTGGTGGTCCTGGGTTCTGTAAGAAAGCAGGCTGAGCAAGCCATGGGGGGGCAAGCTAGTAGCAGCACCTTCCATGGCCTCTGCATCTGCTCCTGCCACCTGCCCTGCTTGAATTCCTCTCCACGTTGTCTTTGGTCATGGTGTTTGATTGTAGCAAAGGTAACCCTGACAGAGACATGCCTACTCTGTGGTTGGTACTGAGAACTGAACTTCTCCCTCTGCTCTGTCTAGGCATACACCTGTACCAGTGCCGGGACACCAGCTTCAACGTTCTTCCTTTGGAGACTGAATGTTTTTATGATTGGGTTCATGGGTTCTTTCCCCTTGGTCTTTATAGCCCCTCCCTTACATACCCATGTGTTCTTATATGGATTTTCTGTTGGAATTAGAAAAGGCTAATTTTGTTTTCCTGAGTCACTATGTTGACACTGAGATAAAGATGCCTGTGTTGATTTTTCTTTTTCCATGATACAGAATACAAATCAAACTATGCCTTCTGTAAGAAACTAGTAACACACACACATGCACACACACACACACACACACACACACACACACACACACAGAGAGAGAGAGAGAGAGAGAGAGAGAGAGAGAGAGAGAGAGGAGTGAACTTCCATTTTGTGTTCTTTCAGGGATTGGTATCATTTGAAGATGTAGCTGTGAACTTCACCAGGCAGGAGTGGCAAGAGCTGAACGCTGCCCAGAGGGCCCTCTACAGGGACGTGATGCTGGAGACCTACAGCAGCCTGGTGTTCCTGAGTGAGTGTAACCCCCTGTCAGTCTCAGCAAATGCTTTTCCCTTGGTTAACAAGTATAGAAATCAACACTTAAAGATTTATCATTATTTGTAGCTATGTATATGTGTCTGAGAGTGAGTACCACATGTGTGTGGGGACCTGTGGACACCAGAGGGCATTGGGTTGCCCAGAGGGGACACTGAACAGTTGCGAAGTGCCAGGTTTGGATACTGGGAACTGAACTTGGGTATCCCAAGAACAGTAGTTGCTCTTAGCCCCATAACCGTCTTTCCTGCTCGCTAAACTTTCTCAAGATCATTATTTTGGGTTATCTATTTTGCAGTTTAATGTCAAAAAAAGGGTAGTCTTCTAGCTAGTGAAGAACGAGACTATAGATCCTCTCTGACCAGAGTTTCTTATTAATTTACCAAGCAGCAGTTCCAGAAGTGAGCTGTGATTCCTTCTTAGTAGACGGTCACAGCACAGACCAGCTGTGACTCCTTCTTAGTAGATGGTCACAGGACAGGTGACCTGTGACTCCATCTTAGTAGACGGTCACAGCACAGACCAGCTGTGACTCCTTCATAGATGGTCACAGTACTCTGGCTCCATTCATTTCCTTACTATTTCTAACTTACAGAGCTCTGCGTAGCCAAGCCTAAATTGATCTTCAATTTGGAACAAGGGTGTGGGCCTTGGGGCCGAGCGGAAGCTGCAGTGCGGAGCCACCCAGGTGAGCAAATGTCTTAGGTGGTCAGCAGGAGAGCTCATCGGGTACTGGTCATGTAGAGCTGCTTCTTCTTTCTTCTTCTTCTTCTTCTTCTTCTTCTTCTTCTTCTTCTTCTTCTTCTTCTTCTTCTTCCTCTTCCTCCTCCTCCTCCTCCTCCTCCTCCTCCTCCTCCTTCTTCCTTCTTCCTCCTCCTCCTCTTCTTCTTCTTCTTGAATCAGTTTTTTAAAATCACATTCTGAAGCAGCTGGTCACATGGGTCTAACCTTTTTTCTCTTAATCCAGTTTGAAAAGAACATCCTTGATGTCACTCCATCTCCCTGATTTTGTTGCTGACAATTTGCCGAAAAAGGTCTTTAATTTCTTTCTTGACCCGTCATAGTTCAGATGAAAATTGTTCAGTTTGCATGAGTTTGTAGGCTTTCTGTAGTTTGTGTTGTTGTTGAAGTCTAGCTTTAATCCATGGTTATCCAATAATATACTTAGGTTTCTTTCTTTCTTTTTTTTTTTTTTGTACCTATTGAGATTTGCTTTGTGACCAAGTATATTAGATGACCATTTTCTAACTTTTGCGTGTAATTAGTAGTTGGATATAAATTGATGCCTTGATGGTGATCCTGGTTAAAATACAGGTACATTTGGAAATCAGTAGCCTAGAGACATTTTAATATACTTAATGTGCTATATTAGCTCCTGTTTTATTATCCTTTTAACATTCATTCGGTTTCATTTTCACTGTTGCACATTTTTGTATGTTCTTTGTATGGTTTCTGGTGTATGAGTTGTCTTTATTTTTATTTCTATATTGGCTTTGTAGAGGAATGTGTTACAGTGTTGCAGAGATAGCCTGACTTAATTGGGAAGACAGAACAGGACAGCTCTGGAGGCTGGAGTTGCAATGGACAGCTCAGCCCTGGAGGACAGGTATCCTGACCAGCGGGAAGCCAGGCTACCTGAAGCTGGGTGTGGTGGGGGATGGTCACCCTGCAGGATATAGGGATCCTGTTCTTCTCCTGGAGAGCAGCTACAGCTGAGCTCTGCTCTGTTCCTTTAAGAGAACGTCCGTCCTAGCAGAACTATCTTCTCAGGCCCAAGATGTTTCTTCTTTTGCTAACACTCTGCTCAAGGGAAGCCCCTGCAGAAATGCAGCCATCTCCTCCCTCTTTGGAGAAAAGTTGTTACTTTTTCCTGCCTGGCCTTGCTCAGCCCCCTTAAGCAGCTTCCTAGCAAGGTTCTTCTGTTCTGTTCTACCTTGCTGAGCCCCCGCTAGGGAACGTCCCAGCAATGTTTTTCAGCTCGGTCCCCTAAGGGACATCCCAGCCGGGTTCTTCTAGTCTGCTCCAGCAAGACTCTTTTGAGAAAGAGATTTATTTGGGAGGGAGGAGTCCAGGAGAGTGGCTCCCTCTGCCAGAGACAGTCAGAGAGGCTTATATAGGGCTTCTTAGGGGTGGAGTTTTTCCAGTGGCATTGGCTAGTTTTTCCCTGCTCAGGGATTGGTCATTTTAGCTGGTCAGAGGTAGAGATGGCCAAGCTGTGTTTCTTTCACTGGTCCTTTTTAGCTTTTCGACTCTAATCTTAGGACCAGGGCATATTTTTTTTTTCACTGTCTTTGATTTTAGGGACAAAGTGCTTCTTTGATACTGGTTTCAGAGCCAGGGCGCGTGTTTTTAGTCTTGGGTTCTGGGATAAAGATGTTTCTCTCCCTGGCCCAGATCCAGGGTGTGTTTCTTTCACAGGCTGCGGGTTTAGAGTCAGGGTGCTCAGTGGGTGGTTGATTTCCTGCCCCAGTTGTCCCCTTTACCCTACAGGCTTGGTTAAGGCTACAGGTGGAGGATAATGGCACAGAAGTTCTCCTTGTATAAAATGGGAATGCTGTGGGAACCCCTTTAGCCAATAGCCTTTAAGATACTGGCTCATTCTGGGTGTGGCCACACGTACTGTGTGTACAGATGTAAAAACACGCACAGCCCCTTGGCTGCTCTGTTTGGTTCCTGTTCCCTGCTCATGCAGAGGACTGTGATCTGTGAGTCTATCCCTAAATAAAGAATCCTTTATTATGCCCCATTCTAAGCTAGTGTGAATTCTCAGCTAAGGTATCCATGGCTCCCCTCCTCCATGGAAACAAGAGTGACCCTTTCCCCAATGTAGCACATCTGGTTTTTATTCTGAGATCAGCGCACCCTTGAAATACACCAGCTGATTTAATTTAGAAGGTTTTTTAAAATTATTATCCAATGTCTCTCTGCTGCTGTTATTCTTTTCTCATTAGCATAAGAATATTTAAGGTTAATAAAGTATTATGCTATCTATTTTTGGAGGTATTTTCCATCACTTTCTGTTTGTTTAACATTTCCTTTATAGTTTGATTTGATCTTTCTATAACTGCCTGACCTGTAGGGTTGTTTGGCATACCTGTAATATGCTTTATATTATAATAAACAAAAAAACTGTTTCATTTTCTTAGAGACATATGCTGGACAATTGTCTTTATTTGTGCAGGTATACCCATGATGGCCATAACTTCTAATAAATGCGTGATTACTGAAATCAGTCTTTTTTGAGCTCAAAGCAGCTGCCCATTGAAAACCTGATTAAATGTCAATGGTGTGGTGTACATATTTTAATTTTCGAAACTCTGTAAAGTGGAACACATCAATCTGCCAAATTTCATTCCTTTGAGTGCCCTTTGGATTACTCACTACAGGCAGTGGTGTTTGGTTATAGAAAGAACAATTAGGACATCTCCTTATAATCTATCTCCTTAGCTTGTTGCCATGTAATAGAAAACTCTTTCTTTAAATCTCTGCTATTGACATGTTTTTTATAAAATTTTGAGGCCTTTAGCACATTTTTAATCAATAATCAATTAGTTTTTATATTACCTTGTGCTAGAGGACTGGCAGACACATTTTGGATCAGATGTGTGTTTTATGTATATATATGGGACAAAGTCTATTTTTGATTTGTACCATCTGATATAAATTTAATAGTTTTATTTTATTTCATTTTTTAAAGATTTATTTATTTATTATGTATACAACATTCTGCCTCCATGTATGTCCGCACACCAGAGGAGGGTGCCAGATCTCAGTACAGATGGTTGTGAGCCACCATGTGGTTGCTGGGAATTGAACTCAGAACCTCTGGAAGAGCGGCCAGTGCTCTTAACCTCTGAGCCATCTCTCCAGCCCCAAATTTAGTAGTTTTAATATGCAAAACGTTGTCCCTGAGTCCTAGGACCCCCAAGAAGACCACCACGGAGCCATACTTCCCAATGCAAAAGCAAGGTTTCCTTTATTAAGTACAGGCTAGCATGGGTCCTCTGCCTCACAGTCTGACACAGCAGATGGAGGGAGAAGGACCCCGTCTATTTTTGTAAGGGGTTTATAAAGACAAAAACCACAAAGCAGTCACAAGGTTACAGTCTCAAAATACAAAATTCCTGATCCTATAAATTGGCTAAAGGTGTGGTAAAGCTCAGCTGTTGGTTCCTGATAGGCTGTTAGTATCTAAGGGGGAGAGCACAGCCCCTGGTTACGCCCTCCAGACATCTGCTGACCCTGTGCTAACCACAGGGGCTGCTTGAAACATTGCCCAGCTGATGGGGGAAGTTGGGTGAGGGAATGGGCTGCAGTCAGCAACTTTAACTTTCCTTAAAGAGGGTTCCTAGGGCCTTCAGCTTATCCTGGGGGCTGGGGTAGGGGTGGGGAGTTGGCCTTCAGCTCCTCTGCAGCCTTAAGCTTATCCTGGGGGCCTGGGTGTAGTTCAAGGTCTTTTGGGCCCAGCAGAGCAATGGAATCTTTTCTGGCCTTTCATTCCCCACTGGGAGTTCTAAGTGGAGTTCAATCCTGAACTCTAGGTTCCTCAACCTGATGAGAATAACTTGCAAATTCTATTTCGTCTTTGTTGTGAATGAAATAATAGACCGAATGACATGAATTAGCATTAGCATAAATGGAATGGGACTAAACCTTTGTTTTAGAAACTGTACCAGTCTGTTGATTATACATGGGCCAACAGTCAAAGTAATTAGCAAAACCAGTAAAGGTCCTATAACAGCAGAAATAAGGGTGGTTAACCAAGGAGAGCTAACTATTAAACCAGGATTCAAGCCATCCTTGTGAAGGATCTTTTTTTTGGGGGGCTTGGCAATCTTTTCCTAATTTTGGCCAAATTGTCTCTTATACTTCCTGAATGGTTAGTGTAAAAGTGGAATTTCTCTCCTAAAACTGTACAGAGTCTTCCTTTGTAAGGGAGTTCCCTTTTGACTTAACATCTCAACCAGGGATTACAGGACGATGTATTTTTCTTAACTGCTTCCAGCTGACTGTGGGATGTCCTTGTCCAGAGCTAACAAAGGAGAAATGCTAGTCACAAACAGAGGTTATCAGGCAGTGGGTTTTTATCAGGAGCATCTGGATTGTGGGCTCTGTGAAGAGCCAGGGAGCATTCACATCGGCTAGACTGGTCCACATCAGTTTTCAGCAAGCCCAGGATCCACAGTCATTTGGAGCAGACTGTAGTCAGCAACTGATGCTTGGTTGTCTGCCAACCAAGGGGAAGCCTGTTGAGACAAATTCAAACTAGGAACAGAAGTTAAAATTTATATTGAAAGACCCCAGTGGTGGGCAGTCTTTCAGGCTGAGGAGACCCTCCCAAGGAGCAGCGAGTCACTCTTCGGATGCAAATAGCAAGAGGCTTTATTAAGTACTTAAGTACACAGGTACCTGGGGCGACTTAGTCTTTCGGAAGACAAGCGCGCCTGCAGACTGGGGGAAGGTCTTTTTATAGGAAAGAGGGCAGCAGAAGCAGATTACAGAAGCAGATGCATTGTTAGTGGTCAGTTGGAATGGGGCAAGGGGCACAGGGGGTTTTTCCTTTTCCCAGCACAGATGTATGGGAACAGACATCCTGTTAATTGATGTCCTGTCCGAATCTATGGATATAAATATCCTGTTTTGCCGCCAGGGACCCTGACCTTACTCTGCACTTACAGTCGTTCGTCAAAAGCTTTGTGAAATGACGTTACAGCAGCCAAGCTGGGATCTTTCATAGGGGGAGTTGTCTCTTCTGTGAATTACTGATATTCTAAGTTGGGCACATGTGCTGACTATAGGCATCCTGTTTCCCTAAGCAAACGGGATGTTCTCATGAGAGCCGGCTAGCTGCAGGTCCTGAGAGGGTCCTGAGGGTCTTAAGCGAACAGGATGTTCTCATGGGAGCAGGCCAGCTGCGGGTTCTGGGAGGGGGGGGGTGTCCAGAGGGTCTTTCAATATACTTAAAGAAAAATAATACATTTGAAATTTTTAGGCCCATACTGAAATCCGCATTATAGAAAAAGCAAATAACAGATATCTATAAAACAGCAGAAAGAGACTCATACCTTTGAGTCCTAGCAAAAAGCGTAGATTTAGGTTAAAAGTGTGTAAACTTATTTTTAGAGGATAACCAAAAGAAATTTAGTATCCTGAGCTTGTGACCCAAACAGCAAGCAGTCATTGCTCTGTCAGTTTATGAGAACTGTACCATAGAAGGGGGAAGAAATCTGAACCCTTTCTTATAAGCAATATCAGGACAGAGGAGGGTTTAGATGGGAAACTGCTGGCCAGCGGAAGAGCCCTTGAGTGTTATCACAGTGAAGAAGAACTTGGCTTAGGAAAGAAGCGGGGACAGCACTGGTGGGCACAGAGATCTTGTGTCCTTGGCTGTCAATATTCCTTAAAAAAAATTTAACTTTTCTCTGGCCATGATTTCAGATTCTCTGTTTTGTTTTTTTTATATATATATTTTTTTTATTTATTATGTATACAATATTTTGTCTGCATGTGTGCCTGCAGGCCAGAAGAGGGCACCAGACCTCATTACAGATGGTTCTGTGAGCCACCATGTGGTTGCTGGGAATTGAACTCAGGACCTTTGGAAAAGCAGGCAATGCTCTTAACCACTGAGCCATCTCTCCAGCCCCAGATTCTCTGTTTTTCATTCATGCAGTTTTCAATTGTAAGCAGTCAATTTCCTGTGCACAGGTGTGCAGGCTCCCCCCTCCAAAGAGGCCTGCAGAGGGGGGCATGGAGGAAAATACTCATATCCTGGGCAGCTCCCTGGCTGTAAGGCCCCGCTGTGACCCGGGACTGTGGTGTTTCTTGGGCTGCTGCAAGTCGCAACCCCCCAGGCTTGTTGTCGCCTGTTTTCTCCTCCCACCAGGGCTGTTCCAATCCGCAGGCCTCTGCCCTCTGCTAACTTTGCCACCTGCTCTATCCCAGGCACCCCTGCTCCCTGGCCTTGCAGAGCTACTTTCTTCTTTCTGTGGGCAGTTCCTTTCCCACCAATGCGCACTTGTGCCTGCAGCTTGGCCAGTTTTTCCTGGTTCATGATTGTTTCTTTCATCTTGTTGGAGTGGAGTGGAAATGGAGCCATGCAGGGGACTAGGGTTCTCGCTCAGGGGGGTCTCGGGCGGACCAGCTGAGATAAGGCTGTTGGAGTAATTTTTATATTCATTGTAGAATAAAATATGTACACTTAGCCACAGGTCAATAGGTGTCTTAGTTGAGGTTTCTGTTGCTATGCTAAAACACCATGACCAAAAGCACCTTGGGGAGGAAAAGATTTATTTCAGCACAGTCTGTCACTGCAGCAGGGACTGGAGGATGCTGCTCACTGGCTTGCTCCCTATGGCTTGCTCGGTTTACTTTCTTATAGGGCCTAGGACCACCAACCAAGGGGTGCCACTGACCCATTCCCTTTCCACGTCAGTCAAGAAAATGTCCCGCAGGCTTGCCCATAGCCAGTCTGATTGAGACATTTTCTTAATTGAGGTTCCCTCTTTGTCAAGTTGATATAAAACTAACCAGCACACTAGCATATGAAGGCATTGCAATGGTAAAAATAAAACAGTCCCATTCCCCAAGGGGTGTCTGTGGGCAGCTGGCCATGAGGGGCAGTGGGTCCTAGACAGGGAGCCGTGCAGCGGATGGATAGGCATGCCATGCAGAGTGAGGTTGGATATTTATTTAGTGGGTTATGGAAGGGAAGGGAAGAGGGAGGGAGAAGGGGGATGAGGAAAGAGGCAGAGAGAAAGAGAGGAAAGGAGAAGCTACCTCTTCAGGAGAGAGAAGGAAGAGTATGAGAGAGCACTCAGGCTGGAGGAGGCAGGATATCTGCTTCCCTTGGTGGAAGGGGATGGGTTGGGAGAGGGTGGAGCTTGTCTCTTAAAGGGACGGTGTACCCAGGCCAGCAGATCATAACAGGCATGACTTTACTTTATGTTTGAATTCTATAAAAATATTATTATTAAATCGTGACATTTTTAATATTTTAGATGTCAATAAAGTAAGTGCCCTGATTGACACCAGCAAGGAAAATCCTGAGATACATTTGGGACAGCTTGCAATAACTGACCAAGACATGATTAAAGTAAGTAAAACATTTAGTGTAAGATCAAACCATATTTCAAATATGAACACAAGAATGAACATGAAACATTTCCACACTTAGAATGTGCTTTTCTATAGTGAGCCTGGTTAGATACAGGCTGAGAAGAACCTGATCATTTTCATCTAAGACTCCCGGCATCTTAGTTTGCTTAACAACAAAGTTCATAGTGTATTCATTCAGTATTATCAAGGGGTAGCCTTTGAAACAAAGGCAACATTTTACATAAAGAAATTTCAGGGGCTGGAGAGATGGCTCAGTGGTTAAGAGCATTGCCTGTTCTTCCAAAGGTCCAGAGTTCAATTCCCAGCAACCACATGGTGGCTCACAACCATCTGTAATGAGGTCTGGTGCTCTCTTCTGGTCTGCAGGCATATACACAGACAGAATATTTATATGTATAACTAAATAAATATTAAAAAAAAGAAATTTCATATCAAAGAGACTTCTAGTAAATTCTGTAAAACTTGAAATCTTTTCTGTGCCCACAATGTGGCTTATGTGGAAGCAGCGTGTTGAATGTCGTATGTTTTAACACTGTTTGTAAGGAGACTGAATCAGTAAATGGGAAAGAACACACAGAAATACTTAGGGATTATTAGAAATTGTTCATTAGGAAATCATGCTTTGGAATAACAAGCAGCTCATTCTAGGAAAAAGCACTAACAAATCTAACAAATTCTTTTGCTTCAAGGGGAAACTAAAGACCAAACAGGAAGTCTACAAAGGGCCAAAATCCCGTCGTGGTAGAGCACCTGTAAAAACATGTCACCAAAAGTTAAAGAAAAGCAAGACTCATACATCACACCGAGGTGGGAAACTCTACGAATGTCAGGACTGTGGGAAATCTTTCTGTAATAACTCAACCCTTATTAAGCATCACAGAAGAACTCATAATGCAGAGAAGCGCTTTGAATGCACCGTATGTAGTAAAACGTACCACTGGAAGTCAGACCTCACTGCTCACGAGAAAACTCACAACAAACAGGAGAGGACATATGAGTGTAAAGAATGTGGGAAAGCTTTCTTCCGTAAGTCCCATCTCAGTGTTCATGAAAGAACCCACACAGGTGAGAAGCCGCATAAATGTACGGAATGCATGAAAGCTTTCTATTACAAGTCAGACCTGACTCGACATAGAAAAACTCACTTGGGTGAGAAGCCCTTTAAATGTAAAGAGTGCATGAAAGCTTTTTCTCGCAAGTCAAAGCTCGCCATACATCAGCAAACTCATACAGGTGAGAAGCCTTATGAATGTACAGAATGCAGGAAAACTTTCTCCCATAAGTCACAGCTCACCGCACATAGGATAGCTCATTCATCCGATAATTTTTATGAGTGTAAAGAATGCAATAAGTCTTTCCACTGGAAGTGTCAGCTCACAGCACATCAGAAGAGGCATGCAGGACGAAGCTTCCTGAGTGAAGAACAGCCGGACGCTGGTGGCGCATGCCTTTAATCCCAGCACTCGGGAGGCAGAGGCAGATGGATCTCTGTGAGTTCGAGACCAGCCTGCTCTACAAGAGCTAGTTCCAGGACAGGCTCCAAAACCACAGAGAAACCCTGTCTCGAAAAACCAAAAAAAAAGTACTGAGTGAAGAACAGAGAACACTGCCTGGAGAAGAGCAGGGCACTGTGTTCACAGACTCCTTGCATGACTTATCTGTCCCCAGAGGCTCCACAGAGATGGTGTCAGGGAGCTCGGTGGTTAAGAGCTCTGGCTGTATTTTGAGACAGGGTTTCTCCGTGTAGCCTGACTGTCTTGGAACTTGCTCTGTAAACCAGGCTGACCTCTAACTCAGTGATGGAAGAAGGTCATTGCTAATAAAGGAACTGCCTTGGCCCATTTTATTGGTTAGAAGATAGGTGGGAGGAGTAAACAACAGAACGCTGGGAGGAAGAGGAAGTGAGCTCAGACTCCACAGCTCTCCTCTCGGGAGCAGACGCCTCAGCAGAGACGCCATGCTCCCAGCTCCCAGGCAGACGCACGCGATGAAGCTCCGACCCAGGATGGACATAGGCTAGAATCTTCCCAGTAAGTGCACCTAGGGGCGCTACACAGATGATTAGAAATGGGCTAAATTAATATGTGAGAATTAGCCTAGAAGAGGCTAGATAGAAATGGGCCAAGCAGTGAGTAAATGAATACAGTTTGTGTGTTGTTATTTCGGGGCATAAACTAGCCAGGCAGCCGGGGTGCTGGGGACGCAGCCCCGCCGCTCTTATTACTACAACTCAGAGATCCTCCTTCCTCTGCCTCCCAGGCTCTTGCTTTATAATTATGATGATCCTAGCACCTGTTTGACAAGTCAGCAACCCTACAAATACCTGTCAGCCCAGCTCTGAAGATGGCAGAGACGGGGATCACTTGAACTTGCTGATTCCTAGTCTAGCTGGGCCATGAGCCCTGGGTTTAGGGGGGGGGGGGGCTTATGAGAGGAATAGGTGGGGAGTGATGGAAGTGGTCACTCAGTGCACATTACTGGTTTCTCTGTGTGAGTTTGGGTATACATCTAAATACATGTGTAAACAAAGAAGAGTGGTGGAAGGGCTCATTGTGTAAAGGTGTTTGTCACCAAGTCCGACGACCTAAGTCTGATCCCTAGGCCCTGTCCTGTGGCACAGAAGCAGATGTAAGTTGGCTCACAGCTTCAGATGAGTTAAAAAAACAAAAACAAGCTGCACAGGTGCCAAAACACAAACTACAGGTCGGGAAGTAGCTTGCTATATTCCTTTGCACATTCATCAGAGATTCATGCTAAAAAACCCTGTGGATCTCATCACTAAGGATCATATCAGCATTTAAAGAGTGCATCTGGGAGTGGCTCAGTGGTGGTGTGCTTACCAAGCGTGCTTGTTCCCTGTCCTTTTATATTACAGTTTGCCCGGGTTATCTGCCTTGAATGTGTTGTTTGGAAAAACAACATTAGCCATGTGAAAAATTGCAATAAAATGATGATGCATTGTTGCACTCTTTCTGTAAAAATCAGTCTTCATGCATTTTTTTTTTTGCCTTTTTTTCATCTGTATGCAGACAAAGTTATCTTCAGACTCATTTGATCCTGGTTGCCTTAGGAGTTTGCTGTATAACCAAATCTCTTTCAGTTTGAATCTTGATTTGGTTTGTCAGGCAGCTCTCCACAGTTGAGGGATTTGTCCACACCTCACTTCTGTGGTCACTTCATCGCTGTTCACACTTGTGGAGCTTTATGCCCTGACCGTCTGACCATCTGTGACAACTGTGAACGGCGATGAACCCTCTGCCCAGATGCCCAGGAACTGCACTGCCTGAGGACACATAGGGAATAGTCACATTTCCATTTGTCAGGGACAGTTAGCAAAGTACGAAATATTTCTTTATTGCCTGGAAATTATAGTGAACCAGGAGATAGTTTTGAAGCCTCCATTCCTCCCTACTGCAGATAGCTCCACTGGCCTTGATGGTGTTGCTAAGTACTGTTCATGGGACACGAATCTCAAGTGCAGGGGTATATACAGTTTTATAGTTAAATCATGGTTATCCTTATTGTATGGAAAAATCTTGTTTGTGCTCTAACAAAGCTTCCCTGGAGATCAGAGTGTGGAGCTAGCCACTAGATAACCATAGAGGCCAGGGAGTGGTAACACATACCTTTAATCCTAGCACTTGGGAGGAGGAAAGAGGAAGTGATACAGCTGGGCAGAAACAGGAAGTGAATGACTGGACAGAAACAGGAAGTAATATGACTAGGCAGAGAGAGGAAGTGATGAGGCGGAGCAGGTGGACCTCTGCCCCTTTTGGCTGTGACGTTGGCCAGGTAAGAGGTAGCTGTGGCTTGCTCCTTTGTCTCTCTGATCTTTTAGCATTTACCTCTATATCTGTCTCTGTTTTTTCATTATTAAAATCAATTAGAATTTGTGCTACAAAACCTGAAAGTGAAACTAGATTAATTTTGCTCGGGGCAGTTGGCGATTAGACAGAAGCATTTTAATAGTTATCAGAATGAGCAAAGACAAACATCTCTCCACAACTCAGTCTTCCCCTGCATAAGATGAAACACCAGGAAAAGATGATAGGCAACACCACTGGTTTCAGGAGAGCACTGGGGTGTAGAAAACTGGGATTGAGTGTGCGTTCAGGGCTTGGGGAGAAGGTTCAGTGGGTAAATGGCTTGCTATGCAATCCTGACAACTTCAGACCCCCACAGCCCATGTAAAAGCCAATTGTAGGGACACAGCATCTGTGGTGCTTGTGTGGAGGCAGGAGCAGCCAGAAGCTTGAGTACGTGGTGGCAGAAACGAGAGGCTTTGCCTTAGAAAACAGTGAGCTGACTTCAGAAGGTTGTCTTCTTCAACATGGGCATGCACAGTAAACAAAAGCCTCAGATTCATTCCTTATTAATTTGCCTCCAGTAAACTCAACTAATACTTTGTTTCTGCTTGTTGGGTCATCTGTTTATTGTTCAGGGATAACATATATACCTTTAAGATTTTTTTTTACAGGGCTGGAGAGATGGCTCAGTGGTGAAGAGCATTGCCTGCTCTTCCAAAGGTCCTGAGTTCAATTCCCAGCAACCATCTGTGGTGGGGTATGGTGCCCTCTTCTGGCCTTCAGGCATACACACAGAGAGAATATTGTATACATAATAAATAAATATTTTTAAAAAAAGATTTTTTTTTTACATCTGATCACAGTTTCTGATTGGACTGTGGTGATTTGAATGAGAATGGCCCTCATAGGCTCATGTTTGAATACCTCATTCCCAGTTGGTGGAACTGTGTGGGAAGGATGGATCAGGAGGTGTGTACCACTTGAGCTTTCAAAAGACTGGAACTAATCACAGTATGCTCTTGGCCTGCTAGTGAATCATGTGTGAAGTCTCAGCTCTTGCTGCCGCCATGCCTTTGTTCTGCCATCCTGGACTCCAACCCTCTGAAATTATAAACCTAAGCAAACACTTCATCTCATTCATTCATTCATTCATTCATTTTTGGCTTCTTTGAGTCAGGGTTCTCTGTGTAACAATCCTAACTGTCCCGGAACTCACTTTGTAGACCAGGCTAGCCTTGAACTCTCAGAGTCTGCCTGTCCGGCTGCTGAGTGCTGGGATTAAAGGCTTGCGCCACCACCGCCTGGCTCACATTTTATTTTGTAAGTTGCCTTGGTTGTGATGTTTTGTCACAGTAATAGAAAAGTGAACAATGTGCCTGTCATCCTTCATTGTACCCAGTGGTCACGGCTGACAGCTGTCACCTAGAACACTTGCGGCTCTTTCCTCCTGTACTCCATGTCACCTTTTATAAATACATCATGTCTTCTAGCCTCGCTTCTTTTCTACAGATTCTCACTTGCTTGTGCTGTGTTCAACACGTGGCTGAGAAGCACTTGAAGAAATGTTCAACACCCTTCGTCATCAGGGAAATGCAAATGAAAACAACTTTGATGTTTTTGTCTACACCAGCCACAATGGCCAAGATCAATAAAAGAAGCGACAGCTCTTGCTCATCAGGATGTGGAGAAAGGGGAACGCAGCTCCATTGTATGGTGAATCCGCAAGAAGCTAGGAGATCTACCTCAACATCCAACTATGTAGGTGGAGGCTGCTTGTTCGTTCCTGGCCACTCAGACCCGAAATAATCACACAGAAACTGTATTAATTAAAACAGCCTTTGGCCAATCACTTAGGCGTATTGCTAGCTAGTTTTTATATCTTAAATTAGTCCATCTCTATTAATCTGTGCATCCCCATGAAGTTGTGGCCTACCGGCAAGGTCCATCAGACTCCTGTAGGACATCTTTCTTGTCTGGTGGCTATGTGGCATCTCCTGGACTCTGCCTTTTTCCTTCTCTATCTGCTTGGAATTCCTGCCTTGCTCTATCCTGCGCTGCAATAGGCCCAAAGTAGCTTCTTTATTAACTAATGGTATCCACAGCACACGGAGGGGGAATCCCACATCACAGCTGTACTACCCCTGGGTATATATCCAAAGGACTCTATCCTGCTATACTGACACTTGCTCACCTATGTTCATTGCTGATCTTTATATAGAGATTAGAAATAGCCTTCCCTCAGCAGATAAAAGGCTAAAAAATGTGGTATATTTACATAATGGAATATTATACAGAATCATGAGATTCAGAAGTAAGGGGATGGAGTCAGCAAAACATCATTACTAAGATAACCCAGACCGAAAATGGGAAATATGGTATGTATTCTCATATATGTGGATATTGCCTTTTAAGCCTTTGCTAGGCATGCTGCACTCTGTATAAGCACAGAGGATAGATATATAAAGGACAAGGGGGAAGGGAAAATAGAACGTAACAATGGAGAGTCGGGAGTGGGAGGGCAGACTGGAACAGGGGGATTTAATGCGAAGGAGGAGAAAAAGGGGGGGTTGTCATCGGAATTCCCTCAGAGTTCTGCAGCTGTTTTGATTCTGGAGTTTTAGCACCTGGTTCTGATCATCCATTTGTGAGCACTGCCTTTTGTGCCTGCCACCTTCTGTTTGAAGTATGTGAATCTTATCTGAGCGGTTCCTAAAGGTTCAAAGCCTATGCAAAACTTGGCTGTGGGAGGACTCAGAAAACTGAAATGCCTGTGACTGGGAATTGCTTTGGCATTTGACCCTTTGGGGCGCTTCAGATAAGAGGTTTTGGTATGCAGAAATTGACTTGCTAATGGTGTAAATAGTATAATAATAAAAAGTATTTTCCAGGTCAGCTCACCAGAGGCTGACTCCCCTGCAGCTGCAAAGGTTAAAATTCATCCTAGAGAGACCCTGATTCTCCCAGGGACCCTTGTGAACTGAACACCTGACA